GGTTAACAACTTGATATATTCTAGGTGCCACCGGCTGACGGTGCCGTGTGGCCGCTACCGAGTACCAGGACCATTCATAGCGTGCAGTGCACGTAGTATAAATGTATTCAACTTCAGAATTAAATTAAGTTCCACGCCACTAGGATTGTTATATCGGGCGCATATAATTACTTAATAAGACTGCAACCTCCAAACTGGAGCGTGGCTTCTCCGTCATTGAGTATAGACACGCGGCCGCAGGACCCCATTACTGCGCGGTCTGGTCGGACTCGGACTAACCAGTAAGCAGAGCAACGCCGCATTTTGAACACAAAACACATAGTGCTAGACTTTGAGGATCAACAGCATAAATACCTGGTGTTAAAGTTGTGGAAGTGTTCAAAACAAGATAGGTGAGATGTCCATTGATTGATAGATACAGTGTTAAAAAGCCCGTTCATTTTACGCTTTTGCGTGAGATAAATTTGTCTTGCCACTCAGTTAGGACCGATTTTCTTAGATTACATCTATGGCAGAATGGTATAGCCCTGCGGCACGATCCGCGGGCTATAGTACTAGAGCTATCTGAGACAGCTACTCAGGTAGCGACTCGGAAGTGCAGCACTGTTACCTTGAACCGGTTTGTCAACGTATTCGGAGTAGGACGGCATAAAGCTTGCTTCAAATTTCCCGTAAGCCGCGGGTTGTCATCTTTATAGCTTATCATTACTGATCCGAACAGACTTGCGCCACTCAAGATCGATAGGATTAATCGCCTGCCGAATAAAGTTACAACCCCGTACTCCAACCATTGTGCATCTGACTTGTCTCGCCCTCCTTGAGAATCATGAGCGGTCGTGCGGCCATCGAGTGGCCAAGTGTCGTCTTTTTAAGTTATACGAATTTTTACTGCTTTACTGTTGACTCTGCGAATAAAAGAGAAGCCATTAAGTGTTTTTATTCATCGTGGATTATTTATCTTGACTTCTATTGTATACTATGATTACTGTTGGTTACATTATTATTAGTTACTGATGATTGATCATTATTGAGCTGAAAGAGCCATGGGCCATGGCAAAATGTTATATTTGTATAGCCTATATATACTATAGCTACTGCGACTTAACCTGCCCGTAAAAATCCTGACGTATTTTACATTTTTGATAGTTTGCTATGTCTTTATTATATGTCATAATAATAATCTGTTGGAGATATCCACCCTCAAGGAAAAAGCGGAGTAAATAACGGATAATAGATGGCCACCACAGGGACACTGACCACAGCGCCTCCCTGCGCCCCAACAAACAATATGAACAAACATATAGATCTATAATTTGAGTCATAAAATTGTATGTTTGTGAATGCCGAACGATTGTGTTGGAGAGCAAAACTGTTATTTTCATTGATGTCTGCTTTTCTTGATGCTTGTAAAATTTCATGAATATATTTGATTCGGATCATGACTTATACAGAATGCGTAAGTCCTCCAGCCTTCATGCATTTTGCATTTGCTGACGCTAAATTATCATTATGTGAGCATCAGTGAATGACCCATTTCTTACCGTACACAATTATGAATATGATTATGCCTGGTAATGAGCGTAAGACACTTGAACCACAGGTTTTGGTGTCGTACGACTTTCTCTTTATTCGCAGAGGTTATGAGATCACGCAGTCGACAATGCATGCAGCGTGGTTAATTAGTCCGAGATCCTCTGACCAATACCCACACCGACGATTTTCGGGTGGTTTTTGGTGTGGGCTTAGGGTGGGCTTCCTCTAACCACACCAAAACCACCAAAATCGTCCGGTGTGGGTATTGCCGTCAGAGGAATCTCGCGACTATGGTTAATATCATGCCATCGTTAATTAAAATATTACTTCAGTAAACAACTTCTGTAAACCAACTAACAATATTAATGACGTGGCCCTACCGTACCACCATTCAATGCCCAATGAGGTTTGCAACTGCTCCACCCAGCGTTAGTGTGGTAGAGCATAACTATAGTAATAATAAGGTATAGATTCAATCCTACGATAATACCCATGTTATAAAATATCTTAGGGGTTACTATTAGCTTGGCCTTACATTAATATTATATTACTGGATATATGCGTATACTGCCCAATTGTTATATTTGAAGAAGAAAAAGACAACATCTAGAATATTGCATCATTCAACAAGTGTACTCAGTTGCTTAGTGCCTTCTTCGCAGCTTCACGATTCTTTGCTTTACACTGCACTTTATTCAGATAGCTAAACGATGGGATTGCGAGGAAAGCCTTGTATCTCGATGGCAGACGGTCGGATTCTTACCACATGATACGTCAGCAGGTGAAGCATGATCGTTATACGTCACTGTAGCTAGCAATTGAGTCTAAGGTTGTACTTGAAGAATCATCTATTCATGTGTTCTGCATGCCGCTTTATATAAAATGCTGGTAATTCATCACACTTCTAGTCTGATTTTCAAATTTATAATGACACAAATGAATCGATTTCTACCAGCGATAGAGTTATTGACGACGAAATGGCCGAGTCGTGAAATAAAACTTGCGAGACATTGGAGCGGGTAATGCAATTGCTTTATCGTACATAAGTTTTTCATTTGCAAGTATATCGTATGTCTAATCATCGACCGGAATTATGCAACCTCTGTCTAACAAGCCCGGAGATATCTAGGAAGCACAGTTTGCACAATAGCGTATGTTTCGTAAACTATCACGGTCGTACCATGCTTACTCGACTCGCTTTGTTGCATGCTCCATATTCGTATTTTTACTGATATCCGGAAATCGATCGCGTTCACGTTATGCTTTTTTTCAAGAGTATGGCCATTAAATTTTAGTTTTCTCTAAGAAGGCTTACCTCCGTCAATCTGACCGTGATCTCGACGTATCGCACGTTATGGCTGTGGACATGCGTCACTGTGTTGTTTAAAGAAACTGCAGCGGCCAGTTCATTATCGAACTTCCTAAAAAGCTCACGGGCGAATTTACGCGATTTGCAGTCCGCCGTGTGAGAAGTGGTGGGATTCGCCCTTTCTGGAAGAAAGGGTAGCAACTGGGACAGACAAAGCGAGCTTTCGTCTTAGCTTGCTCCTGTGGCCGCTGGGTGCCAGGCAACGACATGCGAAAGCGACAAGCCGACAAAACCCAGGAGCAGACGGCACGAATGCAGGTCAGCGTTAGTTCTCGTCGCTAACGGCTGGCAAACGCTGATAGCCAAAAGTAATCTGGATTAACTAGTTAAATTTATTCTCCTTGCCCAGAAGTTGTGCCTGCCAATGAGTTTCAGCATGCCTGGTGATTTGTTTATTAATTTTTTTCATCGCCAACTAGTACGGTTTATTGTGTTCTTACAAGCATAGTCCTCCAATAAAGTTATTTTTGAGACCAGTCTCTGTTTGCTTACTGCTTTTTTATGGTACCTTGGGTATAACTAAAAGTTTTTTACACAGTAATATAGCCCAAATTATTGCCATCGCCATTAGGTGACCGGACGTCAGAAAATTTCTGCAATCTGTTCAAGAAAAAGCATAAAGTTGAATGGCAAAGAGACAAGGGGAACAGAGCCTAAACAACATGGACAAAATTATACATGTATAAAGGTATGTAAAATGCTAAAATAATGTAATGTTACACTATTGCTTTTACAAAATAGCACCTTCCTTCAGAAGCTTATATCAGTTGTTCTATAACTAATACATAGTAAACAGCTGGCTTGCCAACTTCAACTGCCAGGAATTCGAAGACAAGTTTTGGCCAGAGAATTATAGAAATAAGTACAAGTAAAAATTAAAAATGTAAACTTTTGCATTTTTGGAATCATTACAGCAGACGCCTCTCATGTGGGATGACCATAGCTCTCATTCGCCGAACAACGCGCAGGCAGCGTCCGTGTCGTCGTTTCAAACCACGCTAAGTGGCTAAACCTAATACAGCGTCGAGAGCCTTTATATTTACAGGTGTCTGTTGCTATCAGAGTGCTGCTCCTTATATACAGGTGCTCGTTGTTCTATAGAGGTCGTCCTTTATAGACAGGTGTCTGTTCTATAGAGGGTTGTTTTATAGACAGTGTCTTCTGTATTAAAGAGTGTCTCTGTTCTATTAGAGCAGGTTGTCCTTTATATACAGGTGTCTGTTCTATGAGGCTGAGTCGATGTCTTCCTCTTGACTCGATATACAGCGTGTCGTTCTAGTAGAGGTGTCCTTTACTCATACAGCGTGTCTGTTCTATAGAGGATGTCCTTGTATATACAGGTGTTCTTATCTACTAGCAGTGTGTCCTTTATTATACAGGTGTCTGTCTATAAGAGGTGTCCTTTATATACAGTGTCTGTTCTATAGAGGTGTTCCTTTATACTACAGGTGCATGTTCTAATTAGAGGTCGTCCTTTATATACAGGTGTCTGTTCTATAGGAGGCTGTCCTTATATACAGCGTGGCTGTTCTATACGAGCGATGTCCATTATATCACAGCGTGGTCTTGTCTATAGAGCGTGTCCTTATATTACAGGCTGTCTGTTCTATAGAGATGTCCTTTATATATCAGGTGTCTGTCTATAAAGATAATGTGCCATTTTACTGATACAGGTGTCTGATTCTATTAGAGATGACCATTTGATAATTAAGGTGGTTTGTTCCTGTATCTATAGAGGTGTCCTTTATATTACAGGTGTCTGTTCTATAAGAGGGACCTTTATCATACACAGGTGTCGCTTAGTTAGAGATGTCTTCTTATATACAGGTGCTTCGTATCTTATAGAGGTTGCGCTTTATAGTACAGGCGTGTCCATGTTATCTAGTAGACGTGTCCTGTTATATACAGTGTTTAGTTCATAGGTTGCCTTTCATCAGTGCAGTTTCTATAGCAGGATGTCCTATATACAGGGTGTCTGTCTATAGAGCGTGTCCTTATATATACAGCGGTCTGTTCATGTGTCTTATATTACGTCTCTATAGAGGTGTTTGCTTCGTATAGAGGTGTCCTTATATACTAGGTCGTCTGTCTATAGATGCGTGTCTGTTCTATAGAGGTGTCCTTTATATAACATGTGTCTGTTCTATAGAGGTGTCCTTTATTACAGGTCGTTCTGCTTCTATAGAGGTGTCCTTTATATACAGGTGTCTGTTTCTATAGAGGTGGTCCTTATTATACAGGGTGTCTGTTTACTCCATGGGAAGTGCTGTCCTTTACATACAGAGTGTCTGTTCTATAGAGGTCGTTCCTTTATAGTACACGCGTGTCTGTCATATAGACGGTGACCTTTATATACAGGTGTCTACTTCTAGATGAGGGTGTCCTTTTCTATACCAGCGTGTTCTGTTTTATAGAGCGCTGTCCGTTCTATATACAGGTGTCTCCTTCTAGTGGATGGTTGAGTGGGACTCCTTTATATTACAGGGGTTATTCTGTTAGAGGTAAGGTAGACCACGTCTCGTTTCGTTCACGAGGGTGGCAACGAGTTTGCTCCGCGTGTTGTCTCGTCTTAAAAACGATAACTCGACCCCTGCGTTAGGGTATACACAGTCTCATTTTCAATCCAATTGACACCTAACGTCTCGTACACACATACCTAATTTATCCATCTCTTCTCCGTTCATTCCGCACGAACTCCCCCTCCACGTCAGCGTACGCTACACATCTCATACGCCCATACCTCGTTCTCTGTCTCTTCTCCGTTCGTTTCCCACGAAACGACGACTCCCTCTCCACTTCAGCATACTCTCCACATCAGCATACACGCGTAGCACATTCTCTGTCGCTTCTCCGTTTGTTCCGCATGAACTCCCTCTCCGCGTCAGTATATGCTACCTGACGTCTCTACGAATTCTCACCTCATTCGTACCTAATTTTCTCCATCTCTTCTCCATTCATTCGGCACAAAACGTCGACTCCCTGTAAACATCATCATATGCTACACGTCTCCTACCTCATTCTCTCCATCTCTTCTCGTCAGTTCCGCATGATTTGATGATTCCCCCTCCGTGTCAGCGTACACCACACATCTCGTACGCGCGTACCTCATTCTCTCCGTCTCTTCTCTGTGCGTTTCTTCGCACGCGTGGATAGGTGCAGAGATGCCAACCACTACGATTTATCTGTATTTTATACGAATTTCTATTCCCTTTGCACCACTACGACCAGTTTGTATCAAACTACGAATTTCACTGTGATCGAAAAAAAAAATATTTAATTATTGTCATTTTTTGTCAATTTTTTGTCATTTTTGACCCTCAGAATGCAGGAAATTGCACCTCAAGATCAAAATTTTTTCCGGGGGGCATGTCGGACCCCCCTAGCAAACTTGGGTCACTACGTGACCCTCGAACTACTGATTTGATGGCCAGAAACTACAGATTGCTTCAAATACGTGTTGGCATCTCTGTAGGTGGCGATGAGTGAAGTGTGGAACAGGATGGCACGCGGGCATGAAGGTCGAAGTGGAGAACAGCGACTGCGACATGACGACCGACGCTTACTGGATCGCCACCGTCATGAAGATAGCAGGTGCATCCGCCTCTCTCGCTCTCGTGTATCCAGCTAGCCCGTGGAAGGTCTGTCCGCGGAAGCCGCGTCTTGTTGTTGGGTGTTGCGTAGACAAACCTTGATCGAGAATGGGAGTCTTTTGAGGAAGTTGGGAAAAGATGGGGAAAATGGCTGTCGCATGGGTAGACTGGGACATGAACATCGCAAATATGTACATGATGCATACGCACAATCAGGGTGAATAATGGCACATTGTCATTGTTTACCCCTGATGTAATCTTAATAACCATCCATTAGAGTAGCTTTTGTATGCATATATTCTGGATATATAGAAGTGTTATGAGTTGTGTATGTCGTATTTCGTCGCTGCTGCTTGGCATCGAGTCTCTTGTGACTCGAGCTCCAAAATGAACGCGATGAGGTGTTTCAGGATACAAGGCCATGCCTGCGGTACGAAGGCTTTGGCATGAATGCTTCAGCTGACTTCTGGTTGAATCTGTGCACGACAGATGTTTCTCCGGTTGGCTGGTGTGGCGCCAGGGCAAGCCTCTAGTGCCCCCTAAAAGGTATTACCAAATTACCATATATTATTATCCTAGGGGCTGCTGTCAGAAGCAAAATCGATCTTAACATTAGGGTTAATGTTATTAGGGTTAATGTTGACTTTTTCTCGAAGATCGGACCTCTATACACTGCGTGTGAGAAACTTTGTAATTTTTACGATGTTTCTGTCAATGGTCTGCGAGAAAGAGAGTTAATGTTAAGACTAATGTTATGACTAATTTTGTTTCTGACAAGGAGGCCCTGTTAATATATGGTGTGATTCTAGGAAATTGTAGACATTTTTTAGTTCAAATATAGGGCTGAATTGCAGGTGTGTAATACCTGGTAGGAATTACTAAAGCTTGATTCTATGATTCTCTGCGTGATAACCTAGTGAAATACAAATTTAAACCTCAGTGTAATTATTTGAGAAGATGCTCAGGTTTTGTAGAGAGTTGGTTTCTATTATAGTTGGTTATCATTAGTAGATGTATTAGAGTATTAGAGTATTATGTAGTAGAGTATTATGTTACCTGAAACTTTTCCGTATGTCGAATTTTGAAATGACAGCAGTGAAATTCTACTCGCTCACATGAGATCTATTACAACGTTTGTGTTTGTTTGTGTGTAGACGTCCAGCACAAATACTCGGACTGGAAGGATTTTCTTGTGCGGAGACTCACTGGTGCCAGAACACTGCACACAACTTCAAGGAAAAGGTAGAGTCGTCAGCGTAGCCACGACTACTGAGCGCACGTGCACGTGTGCAATCCCGTTAGTTGTTGAAATTCGTATTTAGTGCTGCGCAAATAATAGTCAAAAGTTACGAGAAACTTTTCACGAACAATTCACGAGAATGACGGAAAAACTTACAAGAAATTTTAGAATATTCACACGGTTTGTTACAAGTAATATTTATGCATGTACACATGCACGTGTATTCACTTGAACTTACGAATCATATTAGTGAGAAAAATTTGCGAAATTCAATCTAGCCATGTGCGCGTGCACTCATGCGTGCGAGTGAGCATTCATGCATGCGTGCGTGCGTGCGTGTGTCATATATATGTCTATAGCTTGTCCACGAACCACGGTGTTGGTATACATATATATATAATACATATATCTTTGTCGCGAGTGTTAAGCCTGGCGCACACATGAATAATTTTACTCAAGTAAAATTATGCATGCGTCAAAATACTCAACGAAAATCTGCCCGCACACCGTGAGTATTTTGACGGCATGCATCATTTTACTTGAGTAAAATTACTCATGTGTGCGCCGGGCTTAACACTCGCGGCAAAAAATATATATATATGTATACCAACACCGTGGTTCGTGGACAAGCTAGCAGACATACGTACGACACAGCCGCGGCCCACCTGACCCTTGTGTCAGCATGTTTCCTTCTTGTCGTCCTCACACGTGTCCCTTGTCATCTGCAGGTCGTGGAGAGCAGTCAGTCGGTGATCAAGGTCGGACAAATCCTAGAGGTCGTCGACAAGAACTGCATCAGCAGGATGCGCGTCGCATCCGTCGACAAGGTAGGAACGCCGGCGCCCCCTGGTGTCCTGGGATGGCAATCCCATTGTTGTGACAGGAGTGATAGTTCGATGCTAGCTTCGTAGCTCGTGGTGGCATTGGGTGACGAGTTCGGTAAATAGTCGTGGGTGTAGTGGCAGTGGGTCTGCATCCCGTAGAGACGGTCCAGACCTGCCGCTACACACACAGGACTAGTAGCAGTGGGTCTGCGTCGGTAGAGACGGTCCAGACCTGCGCCTACACTCACAGACTAGTAGCAGTGGGTCTGCGTCCCGTAGAGACAGTCTAGACCTGCGCTTACACACACAGGACTAGTAGCAGTGGGTCTGTGTTCCGTAGAGACGGTCCAGGACCTCCGCTACACACACAGGACTAGTAGCAGTGGGTCTGTGTTCCGTAGGGACGCGGTCCAGACCTCCGCTACACCACACAGGACTAGTAGCAGTGGGTCTGCGTCCCGTAGGGACGGTCCAGACCTGCACTACTCACACAGGACTAGTAGCAGTGGGTCTGCGTCCGGTAGGGACATTCCAGACCTCCGCTACACACACAGGACCAGTAGCAGTGGGTCTGCGTCTCGTTAGAGACGGTCCAGACCTCCGCTACACACACAGGACTAGTAGCAGTGGTCTGCGTCCCGTAGAGACGCGTCCAGACCTCCGCTACACACACAAGACCAGTAGCAGTGGGTCTGCGTCCGGTAGGGACATTCCAGACCTCCGCTACACACACAGGACCAGTAGCAGTGGGTCTGCGTCCCGTAGGGACGGTCCAGACCTCCGCTACACACACAGGACTAGTAGCAGTGGGTCTGCGTCCCGTAGAGACGGTCCAGACCTCCGCTACACACACAGGACTAGTAGCAGTGGGTCTGCGTCCGGTAGGGACATTCCAGACCTCGCCTACACACACAGACCAGTAGCAGTGGGTCTGCGTCTCGTAGAGACGGTCCAGACCTCCGCTACACACAACAGGACTAGTAGACAGTGGGGTCTGCGTCTCGTAGAGACGGTCCAGACCTGCGCTACACACACAGGACTAGTAGCAGTGGGTCTACGTCCCGTAGGGACGGTCCAGACCTGCGCTACACTCATAGGACTAGTAGCAGTGGGTCTGCATCCCGTAGAGACGGTCCAGACCTGCGCTACACTCACAGGACTAGTAGCAGTGGGTCTGCGTCCCGTAGGGACATTCCAGACCTCCGCTACACACACAGGACTAGTAGCAGTGGTCTGCTGCTTCCGTAGAGACGGTCCAGACCTCCGCTACACACACAAGACCAGTAGCAGTGGGTCTGCGTCCGCGTAGGACATTCCAGACTCCGCTACACACAGGACTAGTACGCAGTGGGTCTGCGTCCGGGTAGGGACATTCCAGACCTCGCTACACACACAGGACTAGTAGCAGTGGGTCTGCGTCCCGTAGAGACGGTCCAGACCTCCGCTACACTCGTGGGAGTATAGTGGCAGTTAACCTGCGTGGTGCAGAGATAGATGGTCCAGGCCTTCGCTACACACACAGGAGAGTAGTGGCAGTAGATCTGCGTCAATGTAGAGAGGCCTTCGCTATGCACACATGCAGCAATCCTCTTACAAAAGCAATTATGTCTAGATGTTTTTGGTTTCTGAACGTTTGGTGTAAGGTGATTCTGTTTTTTTCTCTCACAGACACATTCGTCCATGCCCGTGTGCATGAGCGTGGATGCGTGCGCGTGCGTGTGTAACGTTTGTTATGTTTTACAGGTTGTCGGAGGTCGACTCCAGCTAAAGTATAAAGACAGCTGGTGTGCGGAAGAAGAGTTTTGGTGCCACCAGGAGTCGCCACTTATCCACCCGATCGGTTGGTCAGAGTACGTTGGCCATTCGTTAAAGGCATCTGAAGGTGAAGAGAGTAGGTGTTGCTTTTATATTAATTAGCAAGCTTCCACTCATTAATTAATTTACTTTAATTAATGCAGAAATACATTGAAATCTGATTTTAGATGTTCTTATCATTGTATCACCCTCACTTCGATAACTTACACTATAGTTTACTGGGGTAAATGCCTGATCTCTTCTGTGCATACGTGCAGTATAACCCACCTCACGTGTGCAATTAGTAGTAATTGTGCTCAAAAACGCACAGATGCACTGAAATATATGTGAACATCCACGGATTCCAAACGTCGGGTTTACTTGCAATTTTGTGAAAAAATTCTCGTACGTGCGGTCTCCAGGTTACTGTGCCAAATTGGATTCAAAAGCGATTCATGAAAACAAGGAAGAGGTGCCTTGGGAGTTCTTCGAACAGGTGAATATTTCTCATCTGCTTTCCCTTGGGCAAAATGAACCTGCGTACCGAATTGCCTGTAATCCATGATGTGCGTGTGAAGCAAAGAGGTCTTTCTATTCAATTAAGAATGTTTAACGTAACCCATTCACACTAAATTTTTATGTATGTGGTGTGTGAGATGTGGTTCAGTGGGATTTATCTATCGTGTGCTCGTGTGTGAGTCATGTCAATAGCGAACTGGGACTCATTGCCAGAAACGCTGTGAAAACTCACGACAATCATTACAATGTAACATGTGATCTTGGAAAGTCTTAAACGTCGTAGCTTTTGCTTGACACTCCGCTTCGAAAGTTTATAAAATAACATATAATAATGTGTTTATAATATAAGCGTTCGTGATAGTCGTGTAACTTACTCATCGTACGATCCCTGACGATGCGCTCCCGTACTGTGTTTCGCGTGGCAGCGGGCGGCGTCCGACGTTGCCTCAGGATTCCAGGAAGGCATGAAGCTGGAAGCCATCGACCCGCTCAACCTGTCCAGCATCTGCGTTGCCACGGTGATGAAGGTGCTCGACCACGGATACATCATGATCGGTAGGTGGAGCCACTGTTGCTGTTGCCGTCGCCGAGGGCGACGGGGGTCGCGTTCGGAAGTCTCGCCAGATTCGTTCCGTAATGTGTTTGTTGACGGTGTTTGTGACGTGACTTATATATATATTATGTATTATCATAAGGATTAATATTAGTATTGGTATTAGCATTGGTATTAGCATTAGCATTAGCATTAGCATTAACATTAGTATTAGTATTAGTATTACATGTATTAGCACAAGTATTGGCGTTAGCGTTAGCATTAGCATTAGTTGATTAGCATGTTCAGCTTCAGCATGTTCAGCATGTTCAGCTTGATTAGCATGAACGATTAGCATGTTCAGTGTGACCGACTGAATCTATTGTGAAGTAGAGGTGACAGTCTGGGGGTGGAGTGGTGGGTGGGGTTGCATATCGGTGCCAGGGTGTAATCTGTAGGAGTTGTTATATCTCCTATATAATACACATAAATCGTGTTTTGTTTTTCTGTAGGTATAGACGGATCGATGTCTCCACAAGGAACCGACTGGTTCTGTTATTCGGCCAACTCTCCATGTATCTTCCCCGTCGGTTTCTGCGACTTGAACAGGATTGCACTGACGGCACCACGGGGTGAGCTGTTGTTTGATTAGCAAGTAGCGTGCATTTAATTAGTTTTAATCGTGTTAAATAGCACGTGAATTAACATTCCGTGTAGTGGGAATAAGTACAGTAAAGCGATTGTTATAATATGTAGCATGGTAGTGTAATACCTTACAGACCACATGTATATTTCCTGTAATACCACATATATACCACCTATACTACAACATGTATATAGCACCTTGTAAGATAAGGAAGTCACATTGACACACAAATTTGCAGTAAATGATTTTGTATCCTTTTATTATATCTTGTTTAAAATAACATTCACAAAGTATGTGGATGAATAATTGTGAGACAACGTGTGTTAAGAGCCGTTCTTGTGTTGATCTTTGCAGGTCACAGAGGTATCTTCAGCTGGTTTCAATACCTGAAGAACACCAAGGCAGTTGCTGCTCCAGTGTCTCTATTCAGCAAGGTACTGTCAGCTTTACCACTCATTTGCAATGCACACGATTGCGTTTTTAGTTGTCATATCGTTATGCTTGCTATAATAGTAGTATTAGTAGTAACGTAAACTGCACTAGTATACTCCAATTAATAAGATACCATTTTATTTGAGTATATATTTACGATGCTACGATCGTGTTGGCTGGCGATTGCACTGTTGATCGTATTTTTGACCGGCGATCGCGATACCGTCGTGGTTTTCAGTGTGTGCCAAAGCACGGCTTCAGGGTGGGCATGAAGCTAGAGGTGGTCGATCTAATGGAGCCGCGACTCATCTGTGTGGCCAGCATAGCCAAGGTACAGCATAGCCCCTTGAGCAAGGAATCATCCCTTCCTAGCTCATCACTTGGGTGGTATTATGACTGAATTGTACAAAGCTGCACCTCACTACAGTTTAAATAACTAAACCAACTAGAATAGAAACCAAATGAGCTATAATAAAAACTAAACTAGGTAAAATAACAAATAAATTAACTAAAGTAATGACTAAACTAACCAAAATGCAAACTAAACTAACCAAATTAAAGACCGGAACTAAATAAAGTACTGAGTAACGTACAGTTTTACTACGTGTGTGTGTGTGTGCGTGTTGAGCTTCACAGACTCTGAGCTAGTGTCTGTGTGTGTGTTGAGCTTCACAGACTCTGAGCTAGTGTCTGTGTGTGTGATCTAGGTTGTCGGCAGGCTGCTGAAGGTGCACTTCGATGGCTGGGGTGAAGAGTACGACCAGTGGGTCGACTGCGTGAGTCCGGACATCTACCCAGTCGGCTGGTGCCAACTGAACTCGTACAGAATCGAGGGTCCACGCATAGGTACCTGCAGATGTGTGTGCGCGTGCGTGCGTGCGTGCGTGTGCGGGTGCGTGCGTGCGTGCGTGTGGTGTGTGCGTGAGTGTGTGGGTGTGTGTGTATCAGTGCCTGCATGCGTGCGCGCGCATGCGTGTGCATGTGTCTATGTGTGTGTGTGTGTGTGTGTGTGTGTGTGTGTGTGTGTGTGTGTGTGTGTGTGTGTGTGTGTGTGTGTGTGTGTGTGTGTGTGTACGTTTTCTTCTGTGTGTGCTTACATGTGCGTGCATGTCTGTGAGCGTGTGCATGTCTGTGAGCGTGTGCAGCAAGTATTGCAAGCTTTACGTATAACCTCAGATATAGGAGGTTATAACCTCTATATTCCGACAGGAGGTCATACCTGTTGGAAACGATGCATTGTTCGTATATATTCATAAGATACATTCCTGTAATAGTTAGTTGCATAACCAATATTAAGTATGCGGGAGCTGTTGACAGAGATGTTAATTTCCAGAGCCCGAGCCAACGCAGCTAGCGAAGAAGAAAGCAAAGTCAAAAACAATGATATACAAAGGTGTTCACAGGAAAAGTATGTGTAACTTCTCTTATTTTCTGTGATTTCCTATATCTTTTATAGTAGAAAACAATGGCGACTCGGATTTATAACGCGCTAAAAAACTTCAAACGCAGTTATGTTTTAAAATATGTAAAACATTTTAAAAACTTAAAAAATAAAACAAAATATTTTTAAATTTTAACACTTGTTTTTTTACACGTAGAGCGGAAAAACAAGACTGCCGCAAAGCTGAAACGCAAAACCTCGTTGACGCTCAAGCGCCTCCTGGTGGGCAACAACGTGCGCGTATCCTACGCGGCGCCATCTGGCGGCGCGGCGGCAACGATCCCCGACGAGCGCGACCACTCGTACGCGCCGTCGCCCGCGCACCAGGTGACGCCACCGTTCACCGACGGCTTCCCGCTTGACGTCGACCTTGACCTTGACGACATCTCCCTCGTCTCGACGACGAGCTACGCCTCGGCGGCATCTCCGCGCGGCGGCGGAGGTGGGGGCGCCACCGCGTCGATCCTGGCCACGACGTCGCCGTCGCCGCTGACGACGGACGACAATGGCGGCGGCGCGGCCGACGTCGCATCTCCGCTGGTCGTCGTCGTCGATGGATCCGCAGACGCCGCGCTGGAGTCGCCCATGGCGACGGACGTGGTCCAGTAGGGGGCGCCACTCGAGTCGGCGGCGAGCGATGACGAAGCGCGCTCGCTTGTTTGACCCGGAGACGCTCTCCCACTGCCGCCGTTTCGTGCGCGTGACGGAGTGTCGTGGAAGATGGTCGGGCGAGAAGGTAAGAAGTAGTACTGTCGTACTGCAGAAGTAGACGCCGCTGCTGCTGCTGCTGCTGCTGCTGATGATGATGATGATGATGATGATGATGATGCTGCTGCTGCTACTGATGATGATGCTGCTGCTGCTGCTGCTACTGATGCTGATGATGCTGCTACTGCTGTTACTACTGCTGTTGCTGCTGCTGCTGCTGCTGTTACTGCTGCTGCTGCTGCTGTTACTGCTGCTGCTTCTGCTGCTGCTGTTACTGCCGCTGCTGCTGCTGCTGCTGCTGCTGTTACTGCTGCTGCTGCTGCTGTTACTGCTGCTGCTGTTACTGCTGCTACTGCTGCTGCTGCTGCTCCTGCCCTCCCAGGTGAAAACGTCGTAGAGATCGGTGATGGTGTGGATGTGATGAGATGGTGTCGGTCTTGTAGTGGCCGCGCGGGCGATACATTGCGCCATCCGAGAGAGAGTGGTCTCATGTGGAGGTCTTCTTCAGGGCTCACAGTCATGTCTACACAGTGACGTCCCTTGGGGTGAGGAAAGCCACGTGCTTCTGGGTTAAATGGTGGAGAGATTGCGTGGGTGACCCATCACAGCTCTCATATTTGGGTCATCTTCAGGGCCCACAGCCATTGTATACTCTAGGACGTCCCCTGAGGGGTGAGGAAAGCCACGTGCTTCTGGGTAAAACAAGGTGGAGAGATCGAGTGGGTGACCCATCACGATGAGATATTGAGCTTATTGACTTAGCATTTCACAGCCACGTCTACGCATTGACGTTCCCCAGGGGAAGGAAGAGAGGGGCTCATATTCACTAGTTAACAGTCGTGTTGGTGCGTTGAGATTTTATACTTTTCTCGTTTCTTCGTTTGATTGTTTGCATGTTGATTGTGTGGTGTCGAATAAAGATCGTTATGCACTCGCCGCGGAAAAGATCGTGGGGCGGATGCATTCTTGAAGTTGTACTTTGCAAGACGGGGGCATGGTCGTATGTGACTTGAATTTAGCGAAGAGTAAACTAGCAAAAGCTGTGTCACATTTAAGATGTATTCAGCAGTCACGCACGACCGCGCAAAATAGACCTGTCACTTCCAGAGAGTACGGGATTTGCATTGTTATTGAATTTTGATAGTTTGTAAAAAAAATATTTATAATAATTGTATTAAAAACGTGAACGCTGTGCGGGGAAGAGGGAGGGATATGCCATCATGAATGCGTGGGAGATGAGAAAGATGGGAGAGAAAGGAATATATACGATGATAAATGTGTTTGAGAGGAGCACAGACGTGGTAGGTGGTCGAGATGGCCCACCGTCGGCCATTTTGTAATTTTTATAGTTAAGCTATTTACAAGTGGTTATCCACCACGTGCCACCTAATTGGTGGCTGTACAGATGTTCTATTGTTCATGAAACATGCGTACCCAAAAGTTCGCCGAAATAAATTTATAATAATTATGTTGTCCTTTATAAATATTAAATAGAAATTTGTTTACTCAAATTGTTGATATCTATGCCAGCATTATAAGGACGCAATAACCGAGTCACTATCTGGTAAAGTACAAACAGTTGCAAGCACTCAGCATTCAATATAAAATTTAAACTCATTAAAATGTTAGATGTTGCAATCATGTTATATACACCAATAGACCTCCATCCCCCTTGGAACAAATTCAATGCATTCGTAACAAACTTTAAGGTGATGCATTGCTAAACGATGAACTTCTGTCAAAATCATTTGTAGACATTCCTCCCTGCCATTATGCTCCTAATCAGCACTACTCATACTTTGCATGTAGACATGGTGACCAACGTTTCAAGGCACACCGACTATGGCTGAAGGGGTCGTTGTCGTATCAGGTACTACATAATATCAGGAGTAGATAATAGGGAATCCTATTATCTACTCCTGATAATATGTACCCGAGGTACATATATGTATACACAAAGTGTACCAGACTTGTACTACAGAAGTGTACCCTAACCCTAACCCTAAATATACCTCATATAAAAATATAAACATAATACTAAACAACCTAAAACTACCTCGGGTACATATATGTACTACCTGATACGACAACGACCTTTCGTGCCCGACTATGGGTCGATGTTTATCAGATGCTGAGCATATATCATTTCATACCAGCCACAAAAAAATTGTCGTGGTTATACGGTGACAAATATTGTGTCATCCAACATGCTCCTCGTCGTACCAGGAGCGAAGAATAACAAATGTTTTGTTTGTTTTCATTCACTCCTGGTCATGTCACATTGTTGCAAGAGTAGATAATAAAACCATGGTTATATGGTTAAAATGGTTTTATTATCTACTCTTGATTGTTGTTATAAGGACAGACAGCAAAGACGTGCATGTTCATTCAACAAGCAATACTAAGAGTCTATCAACCAACTATAAACTACATAATATACTGAACACAAATCTAGCCAAATTTAAATTTGTCATGAATACTGACAGTTGCTACTTATTGTTCCATTTTTATAATTGCATGGTAAAGTAATTAATTGATTAATAGTAGTCAACAAGTCACGCACGCTGCAATATTTGTTAACATAGTATACGTACACACACTACTAAATATTTATATGGAAATTTACTAAACCATTGGAATCGTACATATGTAATGTAGGGGATGGGAGATTGTTTATTATAACTACATGATAATACAAGATTCTCAAATAATTCAATCTGCGATGAGATATTACTATAAAATTTATAATAGAAAATTAAACTCTGGTCATATGGTATTAAGCTAATAATACTGAAGGAAATGCACATATGTAAACTACATTAATCATTTAGTAACAACTATATTCATATCTATATTTATTTATATGTAAGAAAATTCTTCGCCTAACAAGTAAAACCAACACGAAGTTTCCACACCAATATTCCCACTTCTAGCAAATCTTTAGACGGCAAATTTGTCAGTTATCTTAACAACAAGGTAACTTAAATATTGAATCACCTGCTTGCAATAAATTGTAACTGCTAAATGGGGGGAGGGGAAACTTACTCATTTTCACCACACTGATAATTTTGCTATAGCAAATCAAACGTATACTGTCGTAGAGTATGTGATAAGTACATTTACTCAGCAGAACCACACCTGTATCACTTCCCAACCAGTGCTGCCATCTATCGTGATATATAACATAACTGACATATACCAACACTATATGACAAGAAACTCATTAAAAAAAACAATATGCTACACGTATCAGCAAATAGAATTTGCCAAATCGCGACTTCTCCCTTCTCCGTCCGTCCATTTCCGGAAAAGGGAATATTCCTGTCGCGCACCCGAAACTGTCACGTCACACGCGATTGGATGTTCCCGACAACATCTCATCCCCGTCACTGTGTGGCGCCACCGGCCACCACGACGTCCTCTCATCCTCGGCACTGTGTGGCGCCACCGGCCACCACGACGTCCTCTCATCCTCGGCACTGTGTGGCGCCACCAGCCACCACGACGTCGTCGTCGTCGTCGTCGTCGTCACCGGAGCTTGGCTGGCTGTCAGTGTCTCGCGTGTACATCTTCCCCACGAGTCCTTCCCCTGCCGTCCCCGCCCCCGCTAGCATCCCCTCCCGCGAGCCGGAGGCTGAGGAGCTCCGCCGCATCCCGTCGTCGGCCGGCGATGGCGCTTCCGACGCGGAATCCTCGCCACTAGATGGCGTCGTCGGCTTCACGGACGGTTCACGTGCGACGTGTGCGGGCGCCGGTCTAGAGGCACGGCTACCTGCCGCTTGTAACTGTTCACTGCGTCTAGACTGGCGACTAGCTCCATTCTGCGACTGTTCGCTGTGTGTAGACGAGGATCTAGACTGGCAACGACCTCCTTTCTGTGATAGTTCGCTGTGTGTAGACGAGGATCTAGACTGGCGACGACCTCCTTTCTGTGATAGTTCGCTGTGTGTAGATGACACTCTAGACTGGCGACTAACTCTTTTCTGTGATAGTTCGTTGCGTATGGCCTCATCTACACACAGCGAACAGTCGCAGAAAGGAGGTGATCGCCAGTCTAGATCCTCATCTACACACAGCGAACAGTCGCAGAAAGGAGGTAGTCACCAGTCTAGATGGTCGTATCTAGACTGGCGATCACCTCCTTTCTGCGACTGTTCGCTGTGTGTAGACGAGGATCTAGACTGGCGACTACCTCCTTTCTGCGTCTGTTCGCTGTGTGTAGATGACGCTCTAGACTGGCGACTAGCTCCTTTCTGCGACTGTTCGCTGTGTGTAGATGACGCTCTAGACTGGCGACTAGCTCCTTTCTGCGACAGTTCGCTGTGTGTAGATGACGCTCTAGACTGGCGACTAGCTCCTTTCTGCGACAGTTCGCTGTGTATGGATGATCGTCTGGTCCCGCTGTCGTCTCCAGTGTCGAGTTCCTCACTCACCACGGACGACGGCGTAGACGGCCGACTGCTCCCCGCCTCCGGTTCCCTACTCCCCGCAGCCGCTGACGCGCGCCCGTCTACGACCGCCACTTGCCGTGCGGCGCCATCTGGTGTCCCGTTCCTGAAACAAATCTCGCATATCGAGAACTCGCTCGAATCGTCGACGTCATTCACCCAGCAGCCGTGCCCGCCTCGAACAGAGTCTAAGATCGAGTCAACCGAGTCGTATCTCTTCGTCGAGTTCTCGGTGAAGGGCGAGGCTACATTCTTGGAGGCATGTTGGAGCAGGAAGGCATGGGTAGGTAGGTGGGCCTGGTAGGGAGAGACTCTATTGGTTTAGTTCTTGGGGGTTTCCGCGGTAGCTTTATTACTGGGCCACGTGTGAGAGGGACTGATACGTTACATAATATTTTATACCAGCAGCTTATCTTTCCAACCTACAGGTGGCGCTTACATGTATGCTCATATGTTTGTTTATACATAACATTGTTGGTGATATTCATAGAGATCTATAAATAATATGTAGTATTTATAGATCTCTGGTGATATATTGTTCTATAGCCGACGCCATGTCGGCAGTGAATAAATAGGGTAACCAACTATAACCATCATTGTGTAGTGTTCCTCATAAGGTTTCTGTGTTTTCCTGGGTACTGCCGGACACTGCGGCTGCTGTTGTTGTTGCTGCTACTAATGTTGCTATACTAACTGCTGTTATTGTTGCTGACATTATTGATTGTTGATATTATTGATTGTTGTTATTGACAACAGCAGCCGCAGTGTCCGGCAGTACCCAGGGAGACATATAGACCCTATGTCAGCTGTAGTGTTAGGCATCATTACACACCTGTATGAGAACAGGGGGCTGGTGGCGTGCGACGTGGTGGTGGCGCTGGTGGAGGAAGACAGTGAGCGAGCGACGTCCATGTAGTCCGTCTGACTGGAGCTGCACCTCATGTCCGTCTGCACGGCCGTCGTCGCCCACTCCGTCGCCACGGCAACGTGCGGGTACGGTCTCAGAATGCCGTTAACCTGTAGACATGTATGTAATGTGTATCATGTGTGTACATATGTTTATCAGATGTACTCCAAGACCTACCACTATAGATATTGCTATATATATATATGTATATACATATATATATATATATTATATATATATATCAGGGGCGGATCCAGAGGGGGGGTCGAGGGGGTCCGGACCACCCCTTTTTACCACAAAAAAAGGAAAAAAAGCATACACGCACGCACGCACGCATGCGCGCGCGCCCACACACACACACACTTCTCTTATATTGTCTCTATAAAAAAATCTTGTTTAGCGCTAGTTTTTCTGATAAAGATTGTAAATTCGTTATAAAAACCTAGAAATTGGCAAAGAGGGGTCCGCAGGCATCCGGGGGACCAGATCTGATAAATTTTTGCATTCTAGACATCAAAATTACTGCTCATATGCTCTCAGAATGCACCAATTTGTTTTTTTAATCTTGGGGGAGGTCCCCCAAACTCCCCATAAGTGGCCTTCAGCAGCTTTTTAAAACACCAGAAAAAGTAAGCAGGAAAAGGGGCCCTTTATTTCTTCATGGACACCCCCTTTTCAAAAATCCTGGATCCGTCCCTGTATATATAACCAGTTGCATCATATATGTTCCTAACGTATGAGGAATGTTGAGTAAAAAATTGAAAGTAGAATGATGTTACATGTATGCCAACATCAATGCAAAAATTAGAAATTTTATAGCATTATTTTCTCTAATAACTGGCTATATGTATATTCCTATATAACATATTGTACGATACATACTGAAGATTGCTTTTTTGGTCCTGGTTTCCCAGTGTTTTTTGCAGAAGTTACTTTCCCCTTCTTGCTGGCCATCTGCTTAGTCTTGGTAGCCTTTTGTTGTTTTTTGCCCCTGCCAGCATGTGGCAGTACCATCTCGTCCATGCGCGATGTTGAGGAAGATCTCATCGATGGTTTCATTTCTGGTTGGGTTATAGTACTGGTGCTGCCACCTAGCAGGTCCAGAGTTGTCACCGATCTGGTATAGACGGGAAAAATCTTGTGAACTGCAGGTTATGAAGCTGTAGGATATGAATATCGCTGTTTTAACATGCAGAGCAACACTAAATAGTTACTTCCGTGCATGAGTTCATTACCTCTTCTACTAATTCTACGCTTATTCTTACACTTTTACGCTCTTGCTTTCTAACTAACTAACTAACTAACTAACAATGTGAACATCTGGATTATTGAATATTTCCAAACAGCCCACATCAATGAAAGTGTTAAAATCATTAGTGTCATGTACTCTGCAGAAAGCAACGTGTATAGGCGCCACCTGTTGGTGGGTATAATAGTTCAAGGTAGTTGCAGTAGTTGGAGAGAAGCATGGTACCTCGTCTTGCCTCTGATCTCCAGCTCCTTAATGTATCTGACCGTCATGACAAAGCGAGTCTTTCCTATCTTCATAATGTTCCTTCTCACCTCTTTTGCCTGCAATGTGAAATGGAAACCAACGCTGCAGACTAGCGTAAAACACCAGGGCGTGTTCAACCACAGGCGTACACAACACCACGCTGCAGGGCTGTTACGTGTTGCTTGGTTGCTGGTCGTCTGTCAAGCTTGATGGAAACGTGGCGCCATCTATTTGCCCATTATGTCCTTATTCGTATCACCGTCACTTAACAAGGGTTTTCCTAACACAGTCGCAGTGACATCAGCTTTGATCAAAGTTGCCTGCAGTGATGGTTTGCAAAACCATCACTTCCTCACGCGCGAACGCGGAATGGAGGCGGGGGAAGGGTTGGTGGCCGGGGCGGGAGAGAGAGAGAGATAGAAAGAGAGAGAGAGAGAGAGAGAGAGAGAGAGAGAGAGAGAGA